ACAACCCTCTATCCTCATAGCTTGATGATTTTCTTTACAGCAACATTTCTTTTTTCCCAACTCAGTTTTAACCTAAAAAAAATGTCCCAAACTGTACAACGATTCTGAAAAATGAATGCTTGCCTTCCCATCCAAGAGTAAATACAATGAGGAAAAATAAACAGATATTTGTGGGTTACGACCCTCATCCAAAGCCCAGTGAAATTCTTGGGAATCCTTCCAGTGACCTCCATAGGCTTTCAGTCAGGTCTTATATTATGAGTGATGTTTTTAAATTAATTCTAAATTAAGACCCAAACAGCACTGGTATTTAATTTGTTGCCAGAAGCCACACAATAGACCTTTGAAACAAAACTCTTAAAATGCATAGAAAATTCAGATGAAATGACTCACCAATGCCGAACAAATAAGGCACAACCACACTTCCTTCTGCTCTTCAGCTCCCTTTAAGACACTATTTTCTCTGTGTTTGGTTATATACCAAAATATTTCAGTTTTAGTTGCAGATTATAGTTGGAAGACAGCAGACTTCTGGTGAGTGGTCAGACAGTGACTGCTCTGTCTGGGGACGCTTCCATCAAAATAAGAGCATTTGTCTGGAATAGTCTGTAACCACTTTCTCTAATAAAGCCGAGAGTGCCTGGAAGCTCTGTCTTGCTGAGAAGGGTATCGGTAGCGGATAGAATAGGAAGGCAGGAGGAGCTAAACCCTGCTGTTTATTTTGAATAGAAATAACACATGATGTGTCAAGTGCCAGCAGTCTGCACAGTGATGAAAGAAGACAGTTCCTGCCCCAGAGCTGAAAGAATCTGAAAGACAGACTCCAACATGTCCATCCCTGAGCGGTGGAGCTCAGGAAGTCAGGTTTCCTATAGGTTTGTGTCTCATACCTGGATTTCCCAAAGTCTGTTGGGAGTGGTGGTGAGGGAGGCAGAGAGCATCAAGCTAAGCTTTAACTCACTTTCAGAGAGCTTCTGGAGCAGCATCCTTTCTTGGGGAAGCCAGCAGGGCCCAGCTGCTTATGCTCACATAATGTGTAGGAATTCAGTAGGGCCAAAGCTTCAACAAGGATGATCAAAACCAGTGGATTCAACAAAAACTAAACACTAGGCCACATATAAAATAGGATTTCATAAGCTACACTTCCTCGGGAAAGCATCTAGAACTGCAGAGATGAGCCTAGAACAAAACCTTGGTTCTCATTTCTGACACGGACCTGTTTCACAGATCCAAATCCACTACACACTGAGAAACCTTAAACCAGACTTAAAGATTTAACTCACACGTTACTGAAATGAAACGTGTTTCTAAAACGAAATGTTCCCTTTAAGCAAAGCAACCAAAATTTGTGTTTGGCATTTGCAAGCCAGTATCAAGAAGATGCATCATCGACATTACTCCTTTTAGCACCTCATTAAATATCCTGGTGGAAAGACAAGCTCCGCTTGCCACAATGAGTCAACAGAACTGGCTCCAGAAAATTTGTACAGGACTTTATCTGACCAGCACAAAGCCAACAAAGAACCTCTCTGCATCATTGCGGTTGGTCTTGATTGATCCTGCCACGTTATTACAAACACAGCATTTGCTCGAAGCATTTGTTTGCTTTCCTTTTGCCTGGGGGAATCTGGGATGGGTAAATGCCACGGAACTTAATGGAAACTTTTAATGGAGAAAGGCCGCAAGACCAGATTATGTTTCTTGGGTGAACTCGTTTGCTTTTTCATTAGGTCCATTTGTTCCCTATTATTGGGTCAGAAGATCAAGCCTATGAAGTTAAAGTAATGCCTAGCTCCGACTGAACTTTCTGGAAAATGAAAGAAAAGTTGACACGGGTGCACAGAGGTTAAAAGGTTCCACCTAAACAGTGGGCCACTTTTTCTGTTCACCTCCCAAAAGTCATTCTTCAGCCCAGCCCTGCAATCACACGGTTACTTCATTTCTGATCTTTGGTTACCGACACATTTCTTGAGAGCTGCCCAGAAAACCTGGCTGGGACTTAGGTACAGAAGGGGAGACTAAGTGACGAACCGAGTGAAGGAGGGCCGTTCAAGCAAGAAGGCCTGTGCCCAAGGTAGCTTGGAGAGAAGAGGCAGAGGAGAAAGCAAGGAGGTAAAACAGCTCTTCACCTTTTTTTCCACATGACTAAATATTTTGGTGAGAAAAGATTTTAGATGGCCTTTGAAGAGGAGTCATAAGAGGCAGAAAATTTTGCAGCTCAAACCAGTATGCATGAGGAAAGAACTGGGATTTCTCCCTCTCTCTGACCCCCCTACCCCTTCCTCCCACTCCAAAACTTCAGCTACCAGTAACAAACTTTGGCATGCATGCTTTAAAAAATTAATCATTTAGAGAACTGCAGACCTGAGGGCAAACCTCCACTTACAACAACCAATACAATATCCATATGTCCTTTGTTGCCACCAAGTTGCTGGAGAAGAATGGATTACGTGGATCTTTAAGTGCCGTGTCTATCAACATTGCTTTACCTCAAATACCTCCTGTTACCAAGGAAAACTAACTTTGCTTACTGACAGAGTCCTCCTCACACGGTTAGATGGAGAACTCTGCTGCTGGAGTCCTGTTTCAGAACATTTTTCTCCCTAGGAAATACCAATTCACAAAACATTACCACACAGTGGAGAAATGTTGCCAAGAAAACAGAACACAACACAACACCTTTCCATAGTTAAAAGCCAGACTGAGAAACATACAAGAACCTGCAGCTCAGTGTCCTAGGAGAGCAAGTGCAATAACAAGACCATCAGGGCAACTGACCTGCAACAGCCAAGTGAAGAGATTCTACTCCCAGCCTGCCTCTTATGAAAAGGGAGGGACAAATACTGTAAAAGTTTCACTGCTTCTGCTCTGTGAAATGATCCATAAAAAAATGTCGACAGTTTACTAAATGGGGAAATAAATACAAGTCACATACTGAAAAAAAAAACAAAACAACACAACCTGATAATAACCCTTCACTATCCACATACACCACTCCCTGCTCTTGCTTTCCAAAATACCAGACAAATCCAAAGAGGGGTCATCTCATTTGGGCTGTTACCAGCAGCAGGTAGGTCTTGTGATTAACAGAAGGACTCCAGGCAGGTTAGAATTGCCAGAGTAATTTAATGCATACATGAAGAGAACAACAAGGATTACATGTACGGTTGCTGCAATCTGACAGCAGGCTGGGAAGGATTGCAGAAAGCTGCCAGAGTGAGAGAATGAGGAGAAAGAGTGAGGGGAAGAGAAAGAGAAGGAGAAAGAAACAGAGCTTGGGCTGTAGAGGTAGGGATCTGATGCTGGAAACACACAGAGCAGAAAAGGCAATGACCCAAGAAAGTATGCACCTGATAATCTGAGTATAAAAGCCTGCAATCTGTGAACAGAAGGAAAAGTTTAAGTGACTTTCCCTCCGGTTCTCTGTGCGCACTTAAATTCCCCCGTAGGAGATCAAAGGGTGCCGAACACATTCACGGTCCTGATCTCTGCTGCTTTTGCCACAACACGACGTGGAAACGTGCAGGCTGCCACCCGGGAGCTTCACCTTCAGAAAGGGTAAAGCAGGGGGGTTGGACCTGCCCCCTCCCAGCACTGTGAAAGTGTGGGATGTCGGTAAAAACAGGGGTGCCAGGTCCCTCTTGTCACCCCTCGGGACAATCCCCAGGGAGGTGCTGTCCCTTTAAACGGGGCAGATTGGTTTCCACGCACGTTCAGCAGAGCTTATGAAAATCAAGTCGCTGTTCCTGCTGCGGGGGGGGGGAACAAATAAGGAAATTCAGCAACTTCAGAGGCTTGGCCCGAAGCTGCCGTTGCAGAGCTCGTTGCAATCCTTTAGCAGGTATTAAGCAGGCTGGGGATGGCGTTGCAGGGTGTCACCTTACATCTGACAGCTCCCGGCCTGCAGCACCTGCTGCGGTTCCCTGCTTTTGAAGTAGCTAAAAACTTCCTCCTGTGTTCTGGATGCCTTTTTTTTAAAAAAAAAAAAAAAAAGTATCCAGCACCGTTTCTGTGTTTTCTGTCATTCCGGATTACATCTCTGTTAAAAGTAAAAAGCAAATGTGAGCAGCGTTTGTTCAGGCCTGGAAGCGTCCCCAGTCAGGATTGGCAAGCATTTTTGAATCTAATCTTTTCTACATTTTATTTACCGGATTGTCTGCATGACATTTTTAATGCTGATGTCTAGGCTGAGTTGGAGAATTATCTTTGGTCATTCTGCTTATTGGGAAAGTCCAGCACACGATGAAATACTGAATACAGCTGTACTTCTGAAATCTATCTTGGATAACCTTATCTGAATAACTTCATTTTAAATGTGAATGGACTTTTGTGAGAGGAACTTTCTTAGATAAACCAGAGGGATATTTTTTAACTCAGTGTCTATCTGGAAGGGAAAATCTGAACTTCTGTTTTGAGAACTACATGCAAGTCCAAAACTAACATCTAAAACCCAGCAGGTAGGCAAAAACAAAATAAAGCAAGCATTTAAACGACCTAAAAGGCTTTTATTTCTGAAAGGAATCCAAGAGGAGAACGCAGTTTATCTCAGCACATGGTTTTTACATTTGGTGATTGCTTCCTTAGGAATGCTCAGACTTACGTAGCTCGACACAGTCAGAAAGTCCCAGGCTGTGCTTTCCTACTGCTGAGAAAATAGATCTAGTTTCTGCAGGACCATCACTGGCCTTGTGAACTCCGTTAACATGTGTAATAGCACATTTGGGTTATTAATCCCATACTAGCTTTGTTCCGGCTGGCTTTGGGAAAGTTCTGCTCTGCTCACTAAGGGCGAGGACACAGCACACAGCGAGCACCCTCCCGCCAGAGCCCTCGGGGACACCCTTAGTCCCCTTTTATCCCCCTCAGGGGACCGTTAGCAGGGGGGTGGGGGACCGTTAACCGGCGGTGGGCGACCGTTAACCGGCGGTGGGCGACCGTTGGGCGCTCCCGCCCCGCCTTCCCGCCTCTCCCTCCCTCACACCACGCTGCCGCCCCGTTACCTGCGAAGTCTCCGAGCGCCGCCACCCCGGCGCCGCTGAGGAGGGCGCCGCTGAGGAGGAGGCGCAGCAGCAGCCTCAGCAGCAGCCGCTGCCGGCCGGGCCGTACCTGTGGGCGGCGTGGGCGCAGCCCCGCGTCCCCTCCCCTCATGGCAGCGGGAGGCGCGGCGGCAGCCCCGCCGCCTCACATGGTGCCGCCGGCGCGGCCACCACCTGGGGCTGCCCCCGGGAGCAGCAGCAGGAGGAGGAGGAGGAGGGCGGAGCAGCCCCTGAGGGAGAAGGAGAAGGGCAGGGGAAAGGCTCCTCGGCGGCGCCGCGCCCGGCACTGCCCTCAGCGCGCATCGCGCGGGCCGGGCTGCCTCAGGGCCGGCGGCACCTCGCCCGCCCTCCCCCGGCTCTCCCCACCCCTCTCCGGGCAGTGCTCGGGCCCGGCGCCTCCCTCTTGGCTGCCGGGCGCCGTTCCGCCTTCACGCCCCGGGCGCCTCGCTTCCCGCTGGGTTTTCACCCTTCTTCCATGGTGTAAAATAAACTTTCCCCTTCTCCGTGTGCTCGCCTCACCCCAGCCCTTAAGACCCACGTAGCTCAGCGCAGGTGGGTTTGAAGTGCCCAGTGTTGCTTAAGGCTCTCCTTGCAAAAACATCTTCAAGTTCCTTTGAGAGGGTTCGGGTTGTTCCCTGGAGTCTGTTTGGTAAGACTGGAAAGCAAACCAGCGGGAAGGTCAAACAAATTCGCTGTGTGACCTGCTAAGCCACCTCCAAATGTAATTTGCAGCTCCTATTAAGGTACGCGAGGCTAAAGGGCAAGAGACCCTAGAAGCAGCACTGGAAATGGGCATGAAAACCTTTTCTACCCTTGGGTTGTGCTCAGGTGTAAAGTGGGCAGGCGGGAACACCTAGCTGCCCTCAGCCTGCCGTGCGCATTCACACTCCTCTGCTTTCTCCTTGACACAGGTGAGGAGGTAAGAGATGATGGGGCCAAAGGGATGCTGTTAAACCCATTCCTCTCCTCCTGCTCCAACTGAAGTTGGATCGCATCCAGATTTCAATTTCTTAACTTTGGCACCTCTTCCGAGAAGTTGCACTGAACTTTGACCAACTGGAACTTCATGTCTGCATCGGAATTCATTTTATTCAACCTCCCCCTCTTCACACACAGGAAAACAACAGGATTGTGTGCACAGTATATTCACCCTTCCGTAGTCCTGGTCAGATAAGAGCAAACCAGGTTTCAAACAAACCTGCCCAAGGTCAGAGACGTTCCTTCATGTTTTACTAAACTCAAATAAATGGCATAGAAGATGCTGAAAACCAGGACATGGCATCTGGAAACAGAGATGGAAGAGAGGACAATAGCTCCATCAGGAGTGTGATGCTCATCCTTCCAGCTGCTTCAGGTGTGCACTGGGTTTGCCTCTGAACTGAACCAGCTACCCTGTGCCTTCTGATCATGATATCAGAAAGAAAATTGCAGGAGTCTCCTCTCTACTTCTCTCAGTTTATTTTTCCTTGATTATGCTATACCAGGGCATTTAATCTGATGCTTCTTGCACCTTCTATCACAGGTCAGTTCCGCTGAAGACGGAAGCGAATGTCAGGAAAATGTAAAAAGTAGCATATATTGTTACCCCTCTATAAGAGAAACTACCTGGGGACCATACTCAGATCTTCTAAAAAGCTGCCTAGATGACTGTGGTGGACTTGTTTACTCTAACCTTGCATCTGCCATGTCTACCATAGCTACATATCTCCTGTAACTTCAGCCCAGTGAAGTTAGATGACCTATGGCTGTAGGATGCCAGACCTTCACTTCTTATACAGTCAACACAGAGATACAGATAACTTACATTCAGGCTACCTGCTACAGTTCTGTCAGAAGTGTTTTACCTCCCCTTCTCTGAATTGCTCACTAATTTATGGGATGTAGCTGTCAATAACAACTCAATCTACTATGTGTGGCTATGAGTAGACAAAGGATCTGTGACAAGCACAACCAACACAGAAAAATATAAAAAACATCAAAAATCACCAAGAAACGTATCCTGTACTCATGCTTGAAAGGCTTTGAATCATAAGATCATAGAATCATGGAATCACAGAATGGGTTGGGTTGGAAAGGACCTTAAAGCCCATCCAGTTCCAGCCCCCTGCCATGGGCAGGGACACCTCCCACCAGACCAGGTTGCCCAAAATCCCATCTAACCTGGCCTTGAACACCTCCAGGGATGGGGCATCCACAGCTTCTCTGGGCAACCTGTGCCAGTGCCTCACCACCCTCTGAGTGAAGAATTTCCTCCTAATATCTAATCTAAATCTCCCCTCTTTTAGTTTAAAATCATTCCCCTTTACCCTGTCATTATCTGCCAGAGTAAAGATCCTGCAGGGTTGTTTGCCTAATGAGAACTTGTGAATCTTCTCTTCCCAATGAGATAATATTGCCTTCTCTAGCCCTGTGGTGCTGCAAGAAAAAGACCATCTGGTGGTGCAGGATGAGCCTGGTATGCTTTGGCACTGACTGTGCAGGTATAACCCAAACACAAAGTCAGTGTTCACGTGGAATGACTGAGCTGGGAGAGGCTCAGACTGTTGTAGGTAACCTCCAGGGAGGTGAAGCAGTCAGGGCTGAAAAACAATGAAAGGTGCAGCCTGGTGCTCCTTTGTGTAGATGACTGCCTTTCAGGGGAGCCTCCTTATGGGGGAAAGCACCTTACGGACATTGCAGCAAACAGGAATTGAAGGTGTGCTGTCAGTGAAATGGGAAAAGGGCATTGAGTATCTTCCTTCCTTCCTTCCTTCCTTCCTTCCTTCCTTCCTTCCTTCCTTCCTTCCTGCCTTCCTTCCTGCCTTCCTTCCTGCCTTCCTGCCTTCCTCCCTGCCTTCCTCCCTGCCTTCCTTCCTCCCTTCCTCCCTTCCTCCCTTCCTCCCTTCCTTCCTTCCTTCCTTCATGAATGGGTGATACTTTGCTATTCAACACTCATCTAAAATCTGTAGTGTTTCTTGCAATCCTCACTTTTCCATTCTCATGCTTAACTGGTAAGGTAAGGTTACAGACAACAGAGTGAAACACTACGGTAGGGAGGAAGGAGGCGTTATTTATCCTGATGTGCGGAACGTGTTTCTATGCCATAGCCATGAAAGCACTTTTTGCAAGCTGGCAATGCTCAGCAGCTGGAAGACAACATAACTAATCCAGACACGTTCAGCATGTAGAACTACAGAATCTCCCAGTCTTGGCCTTTCCTTATGCAAAACTGGAGCGAGATCCATTTTTTCCCCAAAGACAAAAGAAAGATTATAAGTTATATCCAGGCTAGATAGCATGCTCGCTTCAAACAGTTTCTCTCTTTTGAACTCAGGGAGAAAATAAATCATTTTACAGTGTCAAAAAAAGCAGGAACCTTGTTGTTGCAGGGAAGTTTTGCAAGAGCAAAACAAAAATCTAAGCTCTTCATTTTTCTCCATATTATTCATTTTTCTCTGAACTTCAGCCAAACTGTCAATTTGAAACTTGTATCATGGCTTAGCAAATAAACTTACAATGTGAAATAATAGAAGAAAGTTGAGTTATGTGGCCTAAAATTTCCCTTTAGCAAAAGATAATTAAAAAATAAAAAAATCACAGGTTTATAGAACAATACCGAAATTATAGCACTTGTTGGGTTGGAATTGCTTTTAACTCAGGAAAATAATTCACATATATAACCTATCCCCACCATACTTTCTACCCCTTTTTCTTCTTTCCTCCCCAGTAAACTTATTGGGAGCTGATTTTTTGTTTTTCCTCCCTGGATGAAGTTTCCCAAAAAGTTCACTTATGCTCTCTTTGGCTTTTTTGGGGGGAAAAAAAAATCTAAGTACAAAACCCCAGGATTTTCCCACATTTTTAAACGCTTTATATTCTTGCTTTCTGACAGAGATGAAATCTACAAGACAGTTCAAACAAGCGGGCTGCTCTCCTCTCTCTGTTTCTATGGAAATGAATGTCCAACCCGTTAAAACAAAGCACATGCTTTACTGTAATCACTATATGGTGATTATTTAAAATAACATAGCACATTTTTCCTGATTCAACCTCTATTTCTATGGATACAAGAATGAAAATAGTGATGGAGAAGCTTTTCGTATAGTTCAACTCTAAGTGTGTTTTGGATGCTCTAACAGGGTGCCACACGTTTTGAGTTCTAACAAGGTCTTCAAGTGTGCAGTAACTTGATCTTGAGAGGATCAATTCTGCACGTTGCAGTTAAAAAACTTTTTAATGGATGCAGGTAGAAATCTGAATGAACACAGAGTACAGTATTTCACCCAGCGGATTTCAAAGCACAGCACATTTGCTATTTTCTGACTTTTTTTTTTTTTTTTTTTTACTTTTTTTTTGAGTCACCTTGGAGTTATGAGAACTAACAAGTTATGAGTTTTGTGGTCATAAGCTGCATCCTACGTAGTCAGCTCTTGGCCTGACTTTTCACAGCACCGTAGAGAGCCTGGCCACTTCACAAAAGAGCAGTAAGACGAAACACACGAAGTTTGTAAAACCAGTCTTTTCATGTTTCATTCCATCTGAACTCCATCTCAACTTCCTCACCGCACACAGCAGAAAGGTCACTGCTCCTCATCCTCCTTCATGCTGCCAGTCTTGTTGGCACCTCTCCTGTGCGCAGATTATTTTTTCTAGCAGTACAACCAGCATGCTGGGCACTTGTACAGACAAGAAATGAGAGGCTTGTCCCATCCCACAGAGCTTGCTGCTGGAAACAACAAAAAAAATACCTAAGCTGGAGGAAGAATAAGTGCACCAAGGAAAAGGTCCTGGCTTTGCTCTCCATGCCATCTTAAAGCATATAAGTCAGCCTTGGTCACATCCCAAAAAGGACCTTAAAATGTGGACTGGAGGACACTGCATGCCTTGCCTCTCTGTTTAGGAAGGACACTAGGACAGAGCTGCTGGGTGGACCATATTCTTGGAAATCAGCCTGTTTACTTGCAAAAATGCCTTATTATGGGTTTATGAGCCTGCCTTTCAGCTGGTTGTTGTCACCGTTTTTCCTTTAGTATGTATTTAGGCTAAGATTTTCCAAAATGACTAATGATTTTGTGTGCTTGAAATTCAAGACGGCAGCTTTTTGCAGCCACAAAATCAATGTCAAAGCATTGAAAAATTGGTGGTTTTTCCAAAAGCCTTGGAAAATCTGTTCTCAAGGTCTCTCAAGTTAGGTATGCAAAGGCATGCTAAATTGGGAGTTTCAGAAAATACCTTATCAATATCTAATCAGTGAGTGTTAATGGTTTTGAGATCCAGACCTCACAGCAATTCAAACTGAACACCCCAAAACTAGAAGCAAATGACAGAAATTTGGAAATAGCATTGTAGAGTTTATGAGTGCTGGCTTTTCCTCACTGAACTGTATGGGTTCAATGGTAAATTCTGAAGAGATGCTCAGTGTCTGTGGTTAAACTAACTCAGGCTACTGGTGGTTGAATATTATTCCATGAGTAGAAGGTGGTACGGGTTTCAGTATTCATGGAAGCTATCCCTTTTGTGCCTCTGGATGTAGCTGTCCTGTAGAGCCAGGGTCCTGTTCTGTGCCTTGAACTAAAGGCTTTATTCACTTCACCCCCAGTAGATATCTGCAGCTGCTTTCAGCCTATACCTCCACTAGCTCATCCCAGCCTGCCCACTGTCCTTTCCCCTCTTCTGTCCTACTCCTTTCTTGCCCAGTCTTTCCCTTCATCTTCAGCATCTGGGCAAGCAGCCTGATTCTCAACTCATCCTGTGCCCCGGCTCAAAAGCCTGGTGCTAATGCATGCTCATGCTGCTGACGCCACAGGCGAGTTGGGTCCTTTGATATTGATAGGGCTCTGGTGTAATGGCAGGGAAGATAAACTATCATTAGTCAGGTTTTAAAACGCACTCATTAAGCTGTTCAGAAAAGCGCTGCTGTGGTTGAAATAACTAAGAGACTGGAGAAGGAGGGGTCGTTTTGTTTTTCAGCTTCAAGAGCAGAAAAAGTTGTGGTTTTACTAAATTGCTGTAACTGCTTATGCCAGAGAGGCATTGGCATTGCAACGCGGTTTCACGAGGGTTATTACCTCAGCCCAGCCTACCCACGTGGCTCCTGAGTCCGTACCCGATTGTGGGGCACCGCTCAGACCCCTTGTTTCCAAACTTCTGTAATTCCAGCTCTGCAACCTCTCTGTCTTCAAGCTCATGAGCTGGCCCTGAGTGAGGGTGGTGGGAGCGTGGGGCACGTTGCATTTGGACGTGAGATGGGGAAGAAGTGCTGGTGTTGGGCTGTGCTGGGAATGTTCCCTTCTTGAGAGGCTGCGTTGAGGAAAGGGTCCTGACACCCAACCTCCTGTCAGCATCCATCATTTCTCCCTCTGTGAACCAACAGCTCAGAGCTCACAAGCTGGAAAGCAAGAAGATCTAATGAACAGCTGTTTCTCACATCAAGTTTGCAGGAACATGAATTTTGGGGAGAAAAAAAAGAAAGAAATAAACATTTCTATGAAATAATCCTTTAAGCCATGAAAGAACATTGAGAATTGCAGTTTTAAATGTGGTATTTGCTGAGATTCAGTTCCTCAGAATTACTTCTATGATTAATTTGTGCATCAGCTGAAGGCTCTTTCTTGGAAAAAATGTGTTAAGAAACTGCTGCATTTCCTCCACAATCTGGACCAAAGTTAGTGTGGAGTAGTGGATCAGGTTGTGTGAGGTCTCTAAGTGATACCTGCACTGAGAGCAGGAGGGGTGCAGTGGTACTGTAACAGGCAGGGGCAGTTCCTGGCTCTGCTAAACCAAACATCAGTGGCTTTAAAGGTAAAATCTGGTCTGGGATTAGCATGGGCTATATAGCTCCAGTTAGGTATGGGTCTGTCAGCAGTCCTGCTCTACCCATACAGACAGTCACTCATTTGTAGCGTGCAGCTGAAGGCCAGGAG